GACAAAATTAAAATATTGATCATAGTTTGATTTCAACCAGAGTCAATGTACGGATATTATATACAGCAACAGACAAAATTAAAATACTGATCATGGTTTGATTTCAACCAGAGTCAATGTACGGATATTATCTTCAACAATGGACAAAATTAAAATATTGATCATAGTTTGATTTCAACCAGAGTCAATGTACGGATATTATATACAGCAACAGACAAAATTAAAATATTGATCATAGTTTGATTTCAACCAGAGTCAATGTACGGATATTATATACAGCAACAGACAAAATTAAAATACTGATCATGGTTTGATTTCAACCAGAGTCAATGTATGGATATTATCTACAACAACAGACAAAATTAGAATATTGACCATAGTTTGATATAAACCAGAGCCCCCCCCCCCAGTGGCACAGCGGTATGTCTGCGGACTTACAACGCTAGAAACCGGGTTTCGATACCCGTGGTGGGCAGAGCACAGATAGCCCTTGTGTAGCTTTGTGCATAATTAAAAACAAACAAAACAAACAATATAAACTAGAGTCAGTTTACGGATATTATCTACAACAATGCATATACTTTTTGTAATTAATGATTTTTTTTCTGATCAATTGTTGAACATAACAGGATCCTTATCAAGTGAGAAAGACTGCGCAGGTTTGAAGCTGGCTGGATTTTAGAGTCACTTGTTTCTTCTCGCTTCTATAAAAGTTTAATTATAGGTTTTCACGTTAAAACCTGCGGTGTATATGGAACATTTCAACAGCAACAACTCTGATCTACATGAGTTGACGACCTCCTCGGATGTGTGTTTCAGTTCATGTAGACGAAGAAATAACTGTTGATAAGAAGGACGATGACCAAAGAGACTCAAGAGACGACCCCTCGATCGTTTCTTTACCATGCCAATGATCATAAGGAGAGCTAATTCTGTGATAACAAACGAGAGACCCGTCTGTTTTTACTGAGAAACACAAACCTGATAACTGTCTGATTGTCAGAGCTTAAATAAAAGTATCAAGCCAACAATAGTGTCAAAGATATGTTGTACCTTAAAATTCACATACTAGTCGCTCAAGAATCGCTTACTACGCTATAGCTGTTCTACAGTCACATACATCACAGCATTATAACTGTTCTACAGTCACACACATTACAACATTATAACTGTTCTACAGTCACGTACATCAGAACATTATAACTGTTCTACAGTCACATACATCACAACATTATAACTGTTCTACAGTCACACACATT